AGAGGACTCTTCGCTGAACTAATCTTTCTTTCTTATTTAATTTCTTGGATTAACTAGAAGAAAGAAGAAAGTTATTTGCAGGTATGTATATGGATAAAGGATAGGCATGAATGTTTATTATACCTTCAAAAAGAACAGATTTTTGAATTGTATTGAGTTTTTTGTGATCGAGACTTTTAGTACGGGAATAGTTATTAACTTATTCATCTATATTATCTATAGAACCAGTGGCCTTTTCTTGACAAATAACTCAGTAACTGTGAATAGTGACCGAAGAATCTCAATTCTCATCAGTTCACGAACCTCTTTCTAATCAAAAGACAAATATTACTAGTCGAGCATTTCTCTGTCATACTCTATTCCTTCATGACTCAAGACTTATGAATGATCTGATCACTCAAGGACTCTAATCATCGGTTGCTATCGTCTCGCGGATTCCAACCACGTAGTCTACACCTACCAAAATGGCTCACTCCACTTGTCAGTGACTTCATGGATTTGTGCCATGTTTTGGTCTGGTTTCCTCTAGCTTCCTTCCAACCATAAAACATCGCATGTCGGGGCAGTCGGTGGTTGGGCATACGTATTAAGTGTCCCAGCCATCTTAACTGATGAAGTTTCACTACTTCATCAGTTGATTTGCCATCCTTACACATTACCCGTTTCCTAACAACTACATGGCTTGCTCGGTGGTTCCAGGATTTACGAGCAATACTTCTGAGGAACCTATGATCAAATACTAGTAACTTACGAATATCCTCTACTCTTACCGGCCATATTTCACAGCCATAAAGTAGGACGGAGCGAGCTGCTGTACAGTAAACCCATCGTTTGTTTGGTAGACGGATATCTCGCCTATGTCACAAATGACGCAAGTTGACAAAAGCTAGTCGAGCCTTCTGTATCCGTGTTGTGATTGCATCAAATACCAGACTATAAAGGATGATGAAACACCTAAGATGATTGAAGTGTTTGACACACTCAACTACTTCACTCCCTATCATGAGTTCAAGTGCTAATGCAACCCAATCCTGATGGAATATTTTACATTTCAAGCTGAAATATCACATCCCGAACATACTTACATAATTGACTTATATAATTTCCTAAACTATAACCAACTGATATAAATTCATCAAAATAAACAGAATTTTAATTATTCTGATACGATTTACTTCATTTTCTTTAAATTTCATGTCAATGATTTGAAGTCTATTGTTTATCTGTTTGGTTGTTCGTTTGTTTTCAATACAAACAATCAAATTCACTGACGGCGTTGAAGATTGGTCAAGTTAAACATAGTGATACATTCATAGAACAATATGAATCGTTCATTTGAATATGGAGAAATGGGGGGGGGGAATAAATATACATAGATGACAGTGGGACAAAATTTTGTTCACCTATTTGACAGATTTATCTGATCACGCTAATGCTGTGATTAGTTTCTTTTCTAATTTCATGTTCATGAATAAATTACTTTGGTAGGGTAAAAGAAAATAAATTAACGTATTAAATACCTATTATATTAATGATAATAATAAAATATAAAGTTATTCAATTCAGTTATTTATTTACTCTGAAGAAGTAACTTAAATGAAGTCACGAAACGTCAAAAATAAAGATTTTCTACTTATTGAGATAGAACAGAAAATATATATTTATGATTAACTTTCCATCCAGTTTTAATCCAATCTTTGCATTAATAACTACATACCTATCATATTGTTTCTTTGATTATTAGTAGTGAGACTCAAATAAGTTATCAACTGTAACAAAAATTAGGAAAAGATGTTGAAGATGAATAGGACATACATATTGAAGAAATCATCAAACTGGATCATGAGGCAAGCGTCAAGTTGAAATCCTGAAAGGAAAAGGAAAAATGGAAGATCCGAGGACATACTAAGTCGAGGGTTAGAAACAAACATGAAAAGAATGAATAGCAATTGGAAACATTTGGAGAGGATTTCTTAGGATACAGTTGGATGGAGAATGCTGGAGGGAAACCTATGCTCCTTCACAAGGGGTAAGTAAGCAATAGTGAGACTATAATTTATGGACGAATTAATGAAATTGAAGGTAAGTTAGTTTAGGATGTTGGCATGAAATTCATTTATGCATAATTAGGCTTATAATCAGATATTATATAGGTGGATGACGAACCAAGGTAAAGTTCTTCCGTGTCATAAATTAAATGACGATAAAAAAACATCACTATGAGGAAAACGTTTAGGGTCATTACTAATTGACAGGGTGAACTGTCTTCAATTTCTATTAAGTCTAAACATGTATCGTCATCGTGGTGCAATCACAGTTCAAGAATGCTGGTTAAATGATTTACAAGACAATTGTTTTGTACCACTACAAGATCTAAATATTTGTCGTCAGTATCGATCAAGAAATAAGAAGAGGAAACCTGTTGAAATACATTCAGTTTTATCACTATTTATACAAGTTTATCAATATGCCGTACAACAGTGTTGGATATTCGATCTAAGCCAGTCGATACGGCGACTACAGCAATCACCATACCTTCAATAACGTTACATGACATGAAAAGTTTGCTTTGCATATCCATCATTTAGTAACTTTTTTTACTGGTAGCAGATGTTATAGTCACATTCGACAGTTCGTTGAAGTCATCAATCTATGTACAGAATAAAAAGGAAATCAAAATATTAACAAATTATTTTTAAAACATCAGGATTGTGAGATCAACAAGACTTTTGCACTGTTGAACGTTCATAATTCAGTTATGGTGGACTCTCTTAAAACAAACAATGCCGGAGAGAGACTTCATAATGGCTTTAACTAAATCAGTGGTACAACTCATCCGAATATATGAAGATTCATTGTTACTCTTAAAAAGACATATAATCTAAGTGAATCTGAAACTTTGGAGTTCGTCTTAAGGATCCAGCAACAGCATGTAAAAAACAAGTACAAGAGGACAATAGTAGGTTTCAAACTGATCACAGAGTATTCTGGAGACGTATCAACACTAAACTCGTTATGCGAAATAACGTCTAACCTAAGATTACACATTTAGTAACATAAAACCGTGTCAACAAAACTTAAATACTTAAGTGAAATTTGTATCTAAATTCTTAGAATGGGGTTTTATGGAGATTGTAGTAATTTTATTAGTTGGGTTCATGAGTCAATCCACTCTAGACAATAGATGAATGGTTGTGAAAATCATGGATACCGACTAAGTGGTCTACAGGTTAAGTGTTTACATGTGAGACCGAAGGTACTAGGTTCAACTAGTATGTGCATGAGCGTGGATGCGTACTGCTGAGGAGCCCCATACTATGACGAAACGAACGCCCAATGCTTCCATGTTTTCAATGGTGGTCTAGCTTAGATCGACTCATGAAGTCAACTATTAAAAGTATCTACAATATTCTGATAAATCATAGTTTGGATGCTTGCTTTCGATTAATTACGTGAATTCAATCAATATACCAGGTATATTATTTTATAATATTATCAAATTACTCTTTTTATTTCACTGGTTGAAATCATGAGTCAACTGAAGCTAGACGACCATGGAAAGCCTGGAAGCACTGGACGGCCGTTTCGTCCTAGTATGGGACTCCTCAGCAGTGCGCGTCCACGATCCCGCCCCCCGCGAGATTCGAACCCAGGACCTATCAGTCTCGCGCCAGACGTTTAACCGACTAGACCACAGAGCCGGCATCCAACGATGTTAATGTCTAACTTCAACTAGTCCACGAAGTCGCACCACTACACACCATTGTCTTCAGTGAGTTGATATCTCACAACAGACCTGGTTGAACTCCACTGGTAACGACTTCTCACAATTGACTCATGATTTCAACCAGTGAAATTTCTAAAATCTCTACAAAACCCATTCTGATAATACTCTTTTTATGTTTGTTTTAATTCATATAAATCCCTTTCCACTCAGCTTTTATGATGCTCACCCATTTCCGAGCATCCTTATTGGAGGATACTGAATATCAATCGATTACTGTTTCCTAATCATATATTGGAATATTTTTAGTGTGACGACAGTCATTAACTTTATGATTTGTAATGCTTATCAATAGCGTGAATTGATTTTACACTCTATGCTTGTATCCATGCATAAAAAGAAAATCGAGATTTGATTAATTGCCTAATAACAATCTGTTTACACTTAGATAATTTCTATTTATAGAATACAAGAAATATAATTTAACAGGGACTAACTTGATGATATTGAAAGATGACATTCTAGACTAACAATCCAGATAATAAAATACTGTAGTTATGTTACTGACTTTTCAGTTTTCTATGCATCAAGCTTAATTTTAAATATAAGTTGTGCAGTTTATAATAGTAATGTATTATAGCATGTAGAGAATTACAATGTAAATAAATTTTTGATACTAGGAAAATAAAAACTAAAATACACATATATAAGCAGAGATAGATAGTAGCTAACAGTGGGATCCATGATGTGCGTTTTGTCCTATTTTGGACTCATCAACTGAATGTACCTGAATTCCAGAGTTGATGATCACTCCGAGACTTGAACCTAGTACCATCCGCCTCATACGCTATCGCATTATCCACTGACAAATCCCAAATACAACGAAACCCATATACTGGGTTCCATTGCCAATCATTATCCATCTTTGCTTACAAAACTTATAACTTAAAGCGATATCAAGTCAATCCATACAGGATGCATATATGTCAACAAGAAACTGATCCATTACAGTCCTAAACAACAATGAGAAGATACCAGTAAAATAATACCAAGTGAATTTTATAATAATGTTTATTTACAAACAAGCAAAAAAGGAAAATTAACAATGACAACAACAAAGAAACAAGAGAAAAGTATGTTAATCTTAAAATTATAGTTTAATCTCATGTTACTTTAGGTGTGTGTGTGTGTATGTGTATCTTATCAACAGCCAAAAAAAGGAAACAAAGAAAAGAAAAGAAAAAGAAGAATAATTCAATCAATAATTGAATTGGCATTAAACAATTACATCTTGATCACCAGTCCATACATGACATTTATCAAATAAATAAATAATACATAAACAAATACTTGATATTAAAAATAATATAATAGGCCAAAATATAGCATGAAATACTGATGTAAATGTATAAAATTTATACAATAATGCTTCATCTTCATGTGTTGCATGTATATAACATTGAAAATTTCTTTGATGTCTTATACGTTGTTGAAATTTTTCAACCCATTCAGTATTGTCCATATCACGATGATGACATGCACTTGTAGCACACTAAATATTGAAAAGAATCAAGAAGAAGAAAGAAAACATAAGAAATATATATATATATATATATATTGATATCAACAATAGCTCAATGTTAGACCATCATTGAGAACTTATAAGCACATGAAAAGGTCACAATTGACTGATCACTGGGTGGCGATCAATGTCATGGGTGTCTAGTCCTTATTAGTGCAAATCGAATGCTATCGATCATTTTGCAATGTGGCCATCAGTCTAGGTGACTCGACACTGCGTGCACAATATATTCAGATTAGATGGTGGTTGGAGGTAGTCGACAGGAAACCCTGGACCTGGATTTCGTGCTACTTGGCACTCATCAGCAAGGGTTTTCTGTTGACCACCTCCAACCACCACCTAATTTCGCAATAGTGCCCGTAGTGTCGAGTCACCTAGACTGGTGGTCACATTGCAACATGATCGATAGCATTCGATCTGCACTAATAAGGACTTGACACGCATGACATTGATTACCATCCAGTGATCAATCAATTGTGATCAAAGTATAGTGTTTAATATTTTAATGAAATCATGGCAAATATTCATTAACAAGTAATTGGATCCATTGTGCGTATAGATCAATTGAACCCAAGACCTTCGGTTTTTGCGTATAAATGTTTAACCTCTAAACCACTGAACCAATATTCAACGGTGCTCATGTCTAACTTCAACTAACGCATGATATTACGTCACCGTCTACCATTATCTTCAGTTAGCAACTGCCTCATAACAGACACGGTTGAATTTCAGTGGTCATGACTTCTTACTAGAACTCTAGGAAATCTATCTTGAAGCTAGTCACTAGTGGGCATATGATAATTATCTATATAAGGTTGTAAAGATTGTTGCGTTTATATATATATATATATATATATATATATATATATATATATATATATATATATATATATATATATATATATATATATATATATATATATATATAATGTTTAGTAATAATTTGTGGAAAATTAGTTGTACGTCCTCATTACTGAAGAGCTTCATAATAGTATGAAACATGTGTTTAGTGCTTTATAGTTGTCAGTGCTTGTCTAGATGAGGTCAGTTTTTTTTAAAATGTATTTAAGATTCCACAATTTCTACAAAACTCCACCCCCCACTTATATCGGTAAAAAATTAGTCTTTGGTATTTATAATTTAGGATTGAGAATGTTATATGTTTTTATACAATTAATATTTCGCTATTAGTATAGGGGTTTGTACAGATTCAAGAACGTTATTAAAACTGGAAGTCGATCTAGAGTAAACAACTGTTGAAAACCTGGAAGAAATGAACTAAAATGAGACTCTTCAATAGTGCACATCTATGGTCCCATTTGATGTCAAACCCAGAAGCAACAGCTTTCGAAGTGAAGTTTTAACATTTAACCTACTGCGAAAGCATTCAATAGTTTATATGTCCAATTTCAATTGAATTGTCACAATGTGCAATCATTTGTTGTCTTCGGTGGGTAAATGGTCCCCCCTTACTATGTTTGAACTCGACTAGTTTCAACTTCTGACTAGAACACTGGAAATTTTCGTTTGAAGTTAGTCACTAGTAAACACATGAATATTTAATGACCCTTTAATTTAACTTCAGTTAGATCAGAAGCTGATGTTATCGAAATGCACATGCCGCCAACCCTCATATATTTTTATCGACTTAATTTGCGTTAAAGAATAACGGAATAAGCCAAATACAAGAATGAATTTTGAATAAGTATATTTCACATACTTACTGATTCGTAAAAATAATCAGAGAAATGAAGTGAGGCGAAACAAAGTGACGCGCAGCAGAGGCGTCGAGTGAGACAATTCGTTTTTATTAAATGTAAATGAATATTTATGTTCAGACAAAATTGAATTACAGACATGTAATGAATGGGGCAAGCAATTAACACATAAGATTTTAGTGACCCAGGATCTGACTCCAGTAATATCGTATGATTGATTGTTATCGAAATATACATGTCACCGATCCTCGTATATAATCATCGACTTAAATCGCGTTAGTGGATAACCAAATTAAATAACTCAAGTACGAGGATGAAGTTATGAATACGTATATTTGGACTATCTTTGGTCATAACAGACAATCAGAGAGACATAGCAAAAGTAGCAAAGAATAGAGGGTGAAGCGAAACAAAATGACGATCGGTGGAGAAGGCGTGTGAGCTAACTCAATTTAACCAACCGTTAGTCGACATTTATAGTCACAAACAAGTTAGTTTCAGACATCTGATGAATACGATGAGAAATGCACAAACATACTCTGATATAAAAACAGTCAAGATTGATAAACGAATAATTAACAAAGTCAAAATATGACTCAAGGAGAATGGATAAATTGGCCTGTTCAGAAGGTAGAATAAGTTATATAGGCTTAACATGACCACCGACACAATACCATCATATAACGACAGTCAAGATTGATAAGTGAATTATTAACAAGGTCAAAACGTAGCTTAAGAAGAATGAATAGATTGATCTGTCTAAAAGCTAAAATAACATATGCAGGTTTGACATAGTACCAGTCATTACAAATATTATCCGTATGATCAATTCAGTGCCTAAACAGTATTCAACATCCTCCATATTAGTAAAATGTTCTTTGTTGAAAATAAATTTAATATCAGAAGGGTTTTTGTGGATATAATAGTAATTTCAATGGTTAAAATCATGAGTTAATTGAAGCCAGACCACGACGGAAAACTTAGAAGCATTGGACGGCCGTTTCGTCCTAAAATGGGACTCCTCAGCATCATACAAACTGACTTACCGTTGCTGTGCCGTCTCAGTGGTCTAGAGGTTAAGCGTTCACGAGCGAGACCTATATGTCCTGGGTTCGAATCTCGCAGGGGGCGGGATCGTGGATGCGCACTGATGAGGAGTTCCACAACGTGACGAAACGGCCGTCCAGTACTTCCAGGCGTTCTATGGTGGTCTAACTTCAATCGACTCATGATCTCAACAATTGAAAATAAATTTATCGAAATAATCCCCTAAAATTCTATCTTTCATAAATTATGTTCTCATATATATTGAATAGTAAAATGTAAAAGTAAAATTCTAATTTTTCTTTCCTTTTTCAGACTGAAATAAAAAATAATTAAATATCGTTCCGAATTTTATGATTGACAACCAACAGTTGATCAACGTTTACTGTGTGACAAAACCAGGAAATAATAGTTAATATTACATATTTGATTACATAATCATTTCATTATGACAGACATTTTGTAACCATCTATCATGTCATGAAAGTATTATGTCAGTTTTTTTATTATTATGATGAATTGAATGGAGCTCAAGAGAAATTGAGAATTAAAAGGAACGAATAGATGGGTGGGTTTTATCCTGCTTCAGAGATTGTTAATATTGATTAATTTTACTCGAGACTAAACTGAGGATCTTCAAATTTGATAGAGAACTACAGACTACTGAAATGAACAAAATTTTTAACTCAATGATTCCATGTATTGCAGCGATTTGTTTAATTATGTTAACTTGTGACACATCTTTCAATTAGATTACTATTGTGATCCAATTCTTGACTCGATTTGTAATGAATGAATATTCCGGTGGGAAAAACGATTTCCTATTCAATGCAAAATTATGGAAATCTTTCGGAAATTATAAAAAACCATACATAAAATTTCCAATGGTTGAAATCATGAGCCAATTGAATCTAGACCACCATGGAAAACCTGGAAGCAGTGGACGGCCGATTTGTTCTATTGTGGGACTCCTCAGCAGTGCGCATCCACGATCCTGCCTCAAGAGAGTCAGTTGAAGCTCAATTGAGGAGCTTCAATTGACTCATGATCTCAACCATTGAAATTACTATAATATCCACCCTTCTGATATAAAATAATTCATTTGCAAGTCTTCCATCAATCGTCTCAGGTTTTATCTTTGATTCATTGTTATTACAATTACTCTTTGTTTACAATCTCATTCTCTTCAATTCGATCTTCCTAACGTTCTGCTACTAAACAATCCCCTTCTGATTAATGTTACATACTACTTATGTCAGCGGACACAAATAGTATGAACCACATTATCACCTGTAAATAATCTAATTTATTCAATCCGTTAGTTGAAGATACTTTGTATTTCATTACGTTTATATAAATACACATATATGCTAATCCCTTTTTGGTATCAGTGAAGCATCTTCAACAATTAATCATATCAATGTGATCAACTTCATGTTAACTAACTAAGTCTATATGATGAATGTAAAATAAATACAAATCATTGTAAAACGTTATTCCATTTAGCTTGTTACTATGAGATGATGGAGAAGATTTGTAGCTCAGGTGGATGATTTTGATGGAGTTTTGTTTTATGAGCCGGATGGTTTGGTCGTAAAGCTTTCTACCTGAAGTTTGTGCTGATGATGTCTTTGAGAAGAACGATGAAAGTTCCACGACTAAACCATCCAGCTCATAGAACAAAACTCCATCAAAAGCTTGTTACCATGATAGATAATAAGTGTGTTGAATGCAATGCATTGATGATGATGCTGATACACATTCCTATTAGTATATGGTTTCTTAATATTTTGGAATTTTCACTTAAATCTTTGATTGTTGATAACTTAGATACAGATAATTTGTTGTTAGTCTTCTCAAGGAAATCCCCAATCTATCTACATGTGTCATTTCTTAATTGAACAATATCGAAGTGTACTCCATGTTTATACTTCTTTTCTAGTTGATTTGTACATTTTATTCATCAAGTTTCCAAATAATGTTTTTTGAATGTGATTAGTTCATTAAAATTTGTGTGATTTAAACATTACTATCAGTATGAGGGGGGATATGGATATTTCCAAATGTTATTAAGATCAAGAAGTAACCTAAGTTAGACAACTATTGAAAACCTGAAGGTACCAGACAGCTGTTTCGTAATAGTATAAGACCTTTCAGCAGTTCGTATCCATGATCTTACCACAGACCAAACTCAGGATAAAAATGTCT